GTTACCGACAATTACGTAAATTGACCGTTTTACCATCAGACGTAAAATTTTCAATACGAATAGGCATACAATGGAGTACGTTAGAAAAAGTGCACGTGACATTCAGAAAGTTATAATGGAGTGGTTGAGTGAAGGTTAATAAAAAAAGAAACGCTGGCGCTATCAGTTTTCTTTAACGGTCACGAGAGACTGCGATTATTACCACGGCACATTCGTTAACCGACGGGCCGTTCACCTTACAGTGCATCGTCAGTTTGAATATGTCAGACGATACACGCGCGGCGCTCTGGTGGATGAACTCTGTATCATTTTGTCAGACGTGTCTGTGCAGGTTCTGACAAGTCAATGCCTAACCGAAGAACGAGTCACGACGTGCTTTCGACAGACAAGACCGCCCATTCTACTGAATATTCGTCCTACCTAACCTGAAAGAAAACGACGAATTTTTTGAACAACTCATTTTTCACGAATGTCAAGGGTTTCTTGTTCGCCACTTCTGTTATGTTAGAACCAAGTTACACGGAACTATAAGATTCTAGGAATTATAATTTTTTTTACACGGTAATTAACTGGAATATGTTATCTGGTATTGACATGTTGCAACTGCAAAATGCATATATGCATGGTTTCTAGAAATAGCTGTACACCCTACTCTCAATTCTCCTATCCACTACATCGTGCATCGTTAATCTAATCGCGATGCGTGGTATGCAGAACATTCGTCGATGCAGTGTAATGTTTTTTTTTTCTTTTCGTAATACAAAAAACCTAGTGATAAATCAGGAACTTTTAATTCTTTAAATGACGTCGCGCTTGCGGTAAATGCATCGGGTGTTTGTCTCCGTGTTACATCTACGGTACAAGTTGCAAACATTAGTCTCGGTAGAAAACTAGAATTACACAATAATGAATATTAATAAAATAACGTATATACACTGCCTTTGCCGTAGAATACAGAATTGTTAAATATGCATCTGCGCTAAGATAGTATTTCAATTATCGTCGAGAGGTTCGAGAGATCGTGATTTTGAAATCAATCAAGCGAGCAAGGTCGCGAGATCACGGCGAACGATGAAAAGAAAACAACGAAAAAGATAAGAGCGTACACACAGTGGTCGCCAAGTGTCAATCCGGGTGACACCCTCGCAACGGAACGCACAGAAATATTTCGCGCAGATGCGTGACGCGTTTTTTTTTCGATGGTTCGCCGTTGGCATGCACGCGCGTCTTCCGTTTTGCGATGCAGTTATTTTCTTTCTCTCTTTCCCACTGTTCGCGACACCAGAGACGAGTGAGAGAGTGCGCACGGGACTCACACGCACGCTGCCCGTGTATTTAAGCGGCGCGGCGCGCACACACGTTTCTACGCTTCTATAAATAAATGCGTTTGCTGTTTTAATCTGCCCTGGGCCCGCGCTACGAGCGGACAAAGGGCGATATCGGCAACCAGAAAATAGTTGCGAAATCCAATCAGCCAGATACCGACAAAACGAGGCGCGTTTTCTCGAACCGAGGGGAAAAAAACACGAGACGAGAAAAAAGAACCGATTAGAAGCCGAGATATATAGAACGAGGAATCGAGGACCACCAACAAGACCTCTCCAGAGACCGCACATGCGCACGTAACGTTACACCGTGAAAAATAGATTCCCGCTAGAGACAAGCTCGCCTCGAACGCGAACGAGGGAACGATAAAGTAATTGTAATCGGACGCTTAATCGGACGTAGGACGATTCTTGTATCTTCCGTTAGACACCCAGAGCTTCGAATATCATGAAATGTGTTCCATTTATTCGTGTTACCAACGTGCGAAAAAGTTTCTCTTTCTCTCTCTCTCTGATTCGGAACGCGATTGTCGCGCCACATCTCGAGCTTTGAGGTTACTTTTCCTATTAAACCCCCTGTGTGTTTTTCTCGAAAGCATGCGCCACACCAGTGGTACAGTTTCAGCGGTTTTTATGGTAACGTAAAAATATTCGCGCCGCGGTTTCATGCGCAATCTGACCGTTCGTTTACGATCTGTTTGTTTCATCGATGCCGGTGGAACTTCCAATGGTTGTTGCACAATGTTGCACAATTCTTGCTCGTCCGCATCGCAATAATGGTCCCGCATATGTTAACAGACGGCTCAATAGCGCGCGCGCGCCCATCAAATAGACTTTCTCCTTCAAGTTCATCCGTCGTGGCGCGCGCGCGACCGCCATGTTGTTTTTTTTTGCGTATGCCACCTCTCTCTCTCTCTATCTCCTCCGTGCTCTGTCGAACGTCGTCACGGATTCTCGTGTGCAACGAATAAAAAAACGCGATAAAACGTGGGGCCAGAGGATTTCGCTAAGCCAATTCGCGTGTGTTCTTTCTAAACTGGACTCGACTTTTAATTCGTTCCGTTCCGACTGTAACCGTGCACACAACGTGAATGAAACACTATTTCGAAGGCCTGCCAAGTGGTGTGTTTATTTTAGACGGTCGCTTTCGAAGCCTCGTCGAGGTCCTTTATACTGTTTTCTTCGAACAGAAAGCTACTTTGTGAGTAGCTACAATGTAATTGAACGTGATCTCGGGGATCGACTATCCCGACAACAATAAGTAGACACGTCATCCGAACGAGTGGATCCCGTTTAAAAGCGTATATTCTAAGATCTTCTAAGCGATTCTCTATATTTAGACCGGCTCTGTTGCTTTCACACGCGACGTGACTGTTGGTGAATTAAACCGATTTTTTGCGTCCCCCTGTGCCGTCGGATACATCGCTGCTTTGTCTCTGTTGCACGACGATAATTTCTTCAATAACGAAACGATTTGTACGGTTTTCAAGCCTGTCATAGTTAACTACGCGATTTTACTACCTTGGACATTTCATAAGTTTACCCATGTACAACAGGGCCGGCCATGTGGTTGAAGATACGTGGTTCGCGACCATTTAATGCCTGGATTTATTTGTTGGTGCAAAGTAGAAAATATGGCGCGTGTCGAGTATCCATCTCTTTCAAAATAAATCTCGCAGCTGTTTCAACAACTCTTGCCTAATGACACCGCCATTTGTTTGGTCGTAAACAAAAACAGAACGTATGCTTGAACAACGGTACCCCTAAGGAATCTGTGTGTTAGAGGTTTGCGGTTAGAACGACACTAATTCACTATGCTACTAGTCCTAAATCTTAAAATACTGTTACTACATCTAACGAGGAAAATTGTAAGTAAGGAGAAGAAAGAATACTTTCGCGCCATGCTGCGTGAAAAGTAAGAAATAAAGCGGAATCGTGAATGCTCTCCATAAAATCTGCAACATTGTATGGGGGTTTTACCTGCTGGTAAAGCAGTTCCTGCGCGAGGATATTTGCAATGTCGACTGGATCCATGGCGGTGGCTGCCATAGCTCGAGGTATCGGTTATTTCGTTCAGTTATTCGTTTCGTCGTCGAAGAAAAAAAAATAATAATAAAAGAAAAAGGGAGGGAAGGTAAGTTTTATGGTGGGGAAGGGAAGAGGGGTCGAAGGAAAAGAACGAGCGAACTCGTTTTCGTGGGGGTTACGAAAAAAAGGACGTAGGGGTTAATGCAAGAAAAAGTAATTTCAGTCGATCGTTCGTTCGTGAGAGATCGTTCGGACGTCGGTGTGCGCCTCCCCTCCCCTCTTACGTCTCTTTCTCTCTCTGTCTCCCTCGATTCTCCTCCCTCGCGCACACGCTCTTCTCTTCTCACTTCTCGAAAGAGTTCGTCACCACTGCGTCCTCCACCGACGCCTCTCTTACACTGAGCCTCTTCGATGCCGCTCTGCTCTTCGTGGCCATACGCGACGAGGAAACCTAATCTAAAAATAACCTTCGAATTTCGAGTATGTGCGCTTGACAGAGAGAGACGACTAGCGAAAGAGACGGCCAAGGGAGAAAAAGGTGGGAGAGAGATTTCCGCGCCCCCGTTCAATTTGCAACATGCCACGCTTAATCGTTCTTTTGCACAGTTTTCCATTAATATTACGATAAACGCAATTTGTTTAACGAAATGAGAAAACGATGCGAATGAAACTATCTTACAATTCAACTATATTTCTTCGTGTGAAGCTCAAAGAGAAAGAAACAATCGATAATCCGCAATGGTCCAGTTGGTACAGCAGTTGCCTGCCACGCGAAAGATCCGAGTTTCGAATCTCCGTCCACTGAATTACAGATTTTTCCCCCGAAATATCATATTTACGTCCGGAACGTATTTATGCCTCGTGAAAGCATTCGAAGGTAAGCCTTCGGGGTACTTAATGCAAGTGTGTAGCCAAACTTTATGAGCGAACAGATAAGAAAGGGGTGCTTTTACGACTTTCTCCATTGTTCCCCACTCGCCAACAGCGACATTCTTTCAGAATCGCGTAATGGCCTGAAGTTTCCAACTTAACGCTCTGGCCGATTTATCTGCGACCGTCGCCCCGAGAGATTTATACTAATGCGCGGAGAACTTTACTGGCTGCGAAAACGCCGAATATCCGCGTGCGTGTGTTATCTTCGAAATCGTCAATGGTGCAAGAAATCTGGTGGCATAATCGTCGCAAAAGAGAAAAAAATTCTCGGAATATACATGAATTTTCTTCGGTCGTAAAAGTGTTGCTAAAAAAAAATTTAATACCTTGAATATAGTACGGAGTCTCTCGGAGTTTAAAATTACTTTACGTCGTCGCTAAAACTGACATGACAACTGTCGCGAACGTTGAAACCAGTTGAAAGCGGTCATAAACCGAACACACAAGCGGGAGTTTATTCGGACGAGCAGTGGTTTTTCCCGGCATCTGCGAAATTCCCAATTGCGCGTCCGCCTGGAGGATCTTAATTAACCCGAGTTCTAAGTTTAAACACCTGTGGAGCGTCGTTTGTCGTCGACGCCGGCTTCCCCGCGATTCGTCGCCTTGGAAACGGGCCAACATCTCTTCGCAGAACTCTCGACCTAACCAAGAAACGCGTTCCGATCTTGAAAACTCTTCTCGAAACTTTATTGACCGTTCTCCCCGTTGCTAACTAAATCGATTTACCAATCGCCACCGGTGTGTATTTGCGACACGAGATATTTCCTGGAAGATTCTCCGTATCGTGAAAAATTCGCGAATTTGTCGTTAAAAACGGTGACGTTTGTCGTTGGTCGTTTATCGCGTATAACGCGCTTCCAGGATGTGGCTTCCTTCGTGTATCGCGTCGCTAAGATGCACACACAGCGCCACTACGATTTTTTCCTTTTCTACTAGAAATCTGCTTGCGCACGTGGTCACGTGACGCTGACCAGAAGCGACATCACGGCCATTATCGTGACACAAGTGACATGTTGGTACGCGCAGGATAACTCGTTTCTTTTCACCGTTGTTTTCACCGTGACATTTATTAAACGGCCACGATTAGAGGTTGTCATTGACGCCTGACTACGGGATTAATTATTTTAAGAGGAGTATTTTGACGCAACTTTTGCGGCACGTCGACAAGGGGGAACGGCGATAATTGGAATACGTTACGCGTCGTGACGGAAAACCTGTTCCCTTTTGCGTCATTTGGAAACGAGCGAACCGGACCGACTACAACTCGCTCGTGAACACGAGATGGACATTCAAAACCAGCTTATCTCCGCGACTTGATACGAAAACATGTGGCACAGCCAGATTACAATAAACAATCCGCGGTGTTTTACCGGCCGACGATGCCTGTGGAATTTTCAAACATCAAACACTCTATGCAGAAGGCGTACCATCCATTCTTATTATGTTACCCATAAATAGAGATCATAATTTAACGGAAAATATTTTTCTCAACGTGCTTCTTTTTAACACTTTTCACCGACCAGCTAATTTCGTGCATTAGTAGTTACAACAATAATAATATTTTCACTTGAATGCTTGAATCACGTTTTATAAATGGTAAAAATAAATATTTTTCAATAACGAAGCAAGCGGATAAATTTTCACGAGCTTTTATTAGGATGGACACCATTCACACCGAAGTAAACACTTCCACGAAATTCACGGAGGTCTCCTGGTATAGCCACCTATTATCCGTATTAATCTAACTGTGCCAACCCTCTCCGGATATCTCGATGCCTCCCTTCCACCCACGGCATCAATTTCGAATTCCAGGAACTGCCGGCATGTTTCCTGACCCCGATAAGGACATAGAGGGCGTCCGATTAACAGGAAACTGGCGAATCCACAACAGACACGCGCGGCGATCTCGTGAAACGTACCCGACGCTTCGTCGAAACGACGAATTTGCATCGAACGTTTCCAAGAGAGGCTGCGCAGCTATAATTTTCCACCGTTTACACGTCGACCTAGGCGAATACCAAGGAGGAAACAATTTGTCTTTACGAAACAGGACCGTAATGCTCATCGATTAATCAGAAATTGATTTGCATCGACTATTACCGACCGACGATATCGATTACCAAGCTGATAATTTCGGTTTACGTAACGAAATAAAGATTGACCGTAAAACCAGTACAAGGTAAGAGTTAGGAACTGTATCTATCCCTCGATCGATCTTCGAAATCTGTTCTGAACGCTACTCTGTTTCTTTCCTGTTTCTATTGTCGGGATGCTGCAGCATACGGTATCCATAGGTTAATTATGCGACAAGAATTCGACTGGAGCGCGCTCTCGCATTTGGCGTGCCGAAACAACGAGCACACACCCTGATATATAGACGAGACAGGACGGGCGGAGCGACGATTTTTCCACGAAAACCTTTCCGCGTGAGGGCATTGAAATGTCAGGCCAAGATCACCGGAGCGCTCAACTCGGCCCCGTGGGCGACTCAAGGTCGCGTTCTCGGCCAAACAAATTGCGACGAACGATCCTTCGACGATTAACAGTGCAGTTACATCGTTATTTCCCCGCGGCTTAATTACAGCTTTCAACCGCGAAACGATTTCTCTGACAACACGGCGACTTCTATAATGCGATCTAACGATTGCAAATTATTTTTCTAATCTCATTATTTCCCCCCACCAATAAGATACTCCGGCGACGATCTGAGGGGGACGGCGGACACGGACCAATAGGCGACAGGCACGAACAATGCGAAACGACACAGATAGAATAAAATACACGGAGTATAAGTAGATGGTACGCAACGAGAGGAGGATGCAATTATCTCCGAGCAAGAAAATAATTGAGCGTGTAAATAATGTTTGCAACACGATCGAGAATGCGTTCCAATTCCTAATCTCGTTTTTAATCCTCGTGTACTCGATGGACCAACGGCTGTGACTGCTGCGCGCGCGGCTTCGCGTAACCGACCGTTTTATTCCCGTGTTTTCCCGCGTACGCGCACGAACATGCTCTTGTTGTGTTTTTTTTTTTCTCTCGTTTCGCGTGGTCGTTGCGCGACCGCCGTTATTACGCGGGTAAATAATAACGCAATTACGCTGGTGCTACGCGAACCGAGAGCACTATCGCGGTACGAAACGAAAAACAGAAAAAAAAAACAGGAACGTGTGTGCGGCAAACCGCCTGTACCGGCCACGCACAGCCTTGGCTAACAATGGAAGCTGCTTTTGTTACGCGTCCTTCGGAAGGATTTAAAAAAATGGAGCGCCTCTTTTGCCTGTGGTAAAAATCATTCTCTTTCGAAGATACATTATTTTCGGAATTTTATCGGAGAAGTGTAATTTCTGTAACGTGTGAATCACGGCACGGAATACTACTTCGAGTACCGATGATTGTCGTTGCAGACGAACTGTCACATTCAAGCTCGAATTTGTAAATTTTCAAATATTCGAAAGTTCAAATTTTTAAATATTCAAATTTCTTAATTTTCATTTTCTATTTGTCCGACGACGTATCTTTACGTTTCAAGCTCTGCACATCCCTACGTAAGAAGAATGGCAATCGAAGTGTAACAAATCGCATTAGAATTCCACGACACGAGGGCGATCAAGAATATCGGGAGAAGATTAATTCCGCGTAGAGGTTAGGAAACTCTCCGCTGCCCGGCACTCGCCGCGAATTCTAATCTCCTTTGTCCCGATCCTCTTCAGAAGCGGAAAACTTAATAGCGGAATAATTTCGTAATCATTTATTCCGCTCGCCTTCGCTGTTTTTCATCCGCGGACTCGATAGGAAAACAATAGTAATACTATGCGCAACGCGCACGCGAACTCTGAAAGCAAGAGTGATGTTTTATCGTGTACGCGCAGATATATACAATAAACCGCATCAGCCAAGAAATGCCAAGTCTTCTCTCGACTTCAAAACTTAATTTCCATCAATTAACTCGCAATCTACTTCTCATGTTTCCACTTTCATTAAACGCCCATTAAAACAGTGCTTCTCAACCTGACAAATACAAAAAAATAGAAGAAAAAAACGTAGACTTCGGAATTCACACAACGAAGCTTCCGTTGATTGCATCATTTTTTTTATCCAACTACGTGGTCAATCAGTGATTTTTCATCAATAACGCAATAATTCTCGCCGTTACGAAATATTATAAAATTAACAGCAAACAAAAATTTTTAATGCATACAAAATAACATGTAGGTTAAGGGTTAAATTGTCAAAGATTCAAAAGTCGAACGGAAGAGATTCATAAATGAAAGAGCAACGGGTGGACGTCGAATCGTTTAAATTTAAATCTGGCTAATGGAGAGAGAGAGAGCTCGTGAAAAATCTGTTTGCTCGCCCGTTGGGAGAAATACATATATTCCCCCCGAAACGATCCACAGACAGGAAGGTTGGAAAGCACGATCTGGCGCAAACACGTCGACGCACCGTCAGCCCCAGACAAAGAACAAAGAATGTAAACAC